AAGGAGAGCTGCCAGAAATCAGTCAAATCCACGAGCGCTCTGGATCCACTGTTAGGGCCTGGCCGGCCGGGTGAAGGCCGGACCGTGCAGGCGACCAAGCGCCGCAGGCCGGGCTAGTCCTGAAAGGACCCGGAAGCAGCAACGACTGTAAGCGTGGGCGCGAAAAGTTCACCAAACAAGAAAATCTTCCGTCTACTCCGTGGTGTCAACTCTGCTAGGAAGGAATCTGCAGCCAACTCCTGAACATAGTGTTCTAAAGTCAGAAGATGTCTAAGCCGCATCCTCCACAACAATTTTGTCAAATCTGTACCATTTCTGTATTCTTCTATGGCTCCTCCTGCACGGAGGGAGCCGGGCGTCAGCTTCTTTGCACCATCGACCTCCAAAAACTTCAACACCGAATCCCAACGTCTCCTAAACGAGGAGGGACTTATCGGATAAAGCAGCTTATCTCTCTGACCGCCTCTGAAAGAAGTTTCCAGAAAACCAACGACCAAGCTGTCCAAAATAGAGGCGTGTTGAACTCTAGCTCCGCCTCTCCGTCGGCTCTTGGGCGCCCGTATCTTCAAGAAACACGGGGCTCCTCCGGTCATGAGCCGATCAGAGGGCAAAGACAAGTCTGCACGATATGCTCTCAGAACTTCTCCAGGTCGAGTGATTCCAAAGAAAGAAATCAGTAGCGTGGCAGCGAAGAGGTCCCAATGCCAGTGCAATGAAACAACAACCATGGCTCTCAAAATGGCCAGCGGCAAGGGGGTTCTGTGTTCGGTCGGTTCGAGTTCTTCCCATTTGGAGATCAATTCCCAACACGGGACAAGGAAAGGCTTGGCACCGAAAATCTGCTTCGAAATTAAGGCGATCAAGTGCCTGAGAATATACAAGGGCTTACCTTCTTTGAAGAGGAAGAGGCCAAATTCTTTGGCTAAGAGGCAGAGGGTCATAGGATTCCTCATCAGGCTCTCTGAAGCTTCCTTGCTTACCGAGTTGCAAACCCAACGAAGGAACCAGGCCCAGATCTTCCCCTGCAGCTGTAGAGTTTTAGTCTCAACCAGCTTGACTTCTTCCAAATTAAAGCTCCCGTCGGCTCTAGGGCCTGGATTCTTGGCTTCACCGATTCTCCGCCAGGGACAGAAGGCGAAGCTTGCTGGATCAAAACCTCCCTTGGATTCAGCTAGATATCCACAGCTAGTAGCTATGCCTCCAGCAATAGTCTTCGCAACATTCCGAGGGTAGGGTTGTGCAACCAGTGTCCAACTCTTTCTGTTGATTTTCGACCGACCTCTAAGAGGAGTGTGAGTATGGTCCCTCAAACAGAAAGTGCAAACATCTTTAAAGATCGAGTTTGTAAAG